TTCATTTGAGATCTTCACAATCGTGATCTTTACAATCCTCGCAATCGCATCACCTTCCAAGGATCACCTTCCAAAGTGGCCAAATCTGATTGATCAAAACTCTAACTTGCCGGTATTCAATGGAACAAAGAATTGATGCTCAAGGTGACCTCTTGGCGAAGTTCAAGTGCTCACTAGTGACTTTGAAGAGTGTGACTCACTTGATCAGGAAGTCTTACGTCTTTTCTTTGCATTTGTAGACACTGATACAAATTGCTGATCACTTACCGGATACCTCAATGTTTGCTCGTTAGGTGATCCGATCAACAAAAACAAAATAATTCCAAATCATATCTTTCAGCTTAAACTTCAATTAATACAAAAGATAGTATTCCTGTAGTGGTTACTGCATATGATATGAAATCATCCTGAATGAACCTCAATATTGATCTCAAACACATCCACCCTATAGTTTCTCAACATTTGTCTTAGTTGTAGTCAGTATGATTGTGGGCAAGACAAGAAAGCAGATGCTGTGTTTATTTCATTCAAGTTATCAATGTATTTTAGTACTAATTGTAAAGGCATTTGGATGTAAGATTGATCTCAAGGTAAATTATTGGGTATTTTATTGTCTTGTGTCCCTTTTTAATTTGTGTTTGCAAAAGGCCTGTAAGCATCTTTACCAAGTGATAGATCTTCAAAGATTGAAATGTTTTTTTCCTGTCTCGTATCTATTGTGTTGTATTAAGTTGAGGATCACATGACAAAAGATAAGGATACTTGAAAAAATGCTTTCTTTTCTTTTCTAAGCAACGGATGAGGTGAGATGAGACTTGAATTTGATGCATGATTGCATTTCTAGGACTCTGGTATAACCTGCAACTACTAGGTCTTTCATAGGTTCTGTCTCAACAACATCAATGGTTGAAAAATGTTGAGCTGATCAATTTGAGACACCAGAATAATTTGAGACATGAGTAACCAGGTGTCTCAGTGAAAACAACCATTGGTGGCAAGAGTATTTGTGTGAGCAGTAAAGACATATGTGGTTATATACATGAATACACATGACAGGGGTGCATTTTTATGGTATCATCAGAAAGCTCTAACCCCAGTGGACCATTTGAGCTTTTATTTGAGTGATTCAGACCATAAACAAAAAAGTTATCACTCCTCATGTCCTTGTAAGTTACTGTGCTGGACAGGAAAGATGAATGCAGCTATGTAGATTGTCAAATATGTGATTGGTGTGACTTGATGATAATTTATTGAAGCCCTAGCACAAGCGGATGAAAACAAGCACTTTTTAAGGCATTTGGATTCCAAATGAAAAAGGTATGGCAAATTGTGTCCTTGAAACTTGTAATGCAAAATAGTACGGGACGGAGAAGATAAATGCGGCTATGGGGATTTTTACACATGTGGTGAGTCAGATGTAAATGTAGATTCATGAAGCCTCAGTATTAGCAAACAAGATGAATCCTTTTTATAGGTATTTGAATGACAATTGAAAATGTTATCAACAATTGTGTCCTTGCTGATCATGATGCAAAATAATACGGACGGGGGATATACATGCAGCTATCACTACGCCAGATCACTAATTTACCGCTGAGTTTATAAAATTGAAACTGTAGAAAAATATCACCAATACAAGGGAGGTCGGAAAAATTTGAAAAAATAATGATTCAATTCATGGGTGCTGTCCCCTCATTTTGCATATATTTGCATATTTTTGCCATGATGTTTGAAGTCTCCCCAAACCAAAATGCTCACAGGGGATATTATGTCAGAAACTCAAATTTGGTCCAAAACTAGCAATATTTGGGCAAAAACCTTCAAGCACAAAAATATGAGTATTTTTGTTCAATCATCTGAACACTTGCAATTTATGGAAGTCGCATGATGGCTCTACAAGGTTTATTAACGTGCTGAAGCCATTGTAGTAATGACTTCTATGCTTATATATGGTTCCTGCTGTGTACGTCTCTTGATATATCTCACCCATTCTTGGAGACACACAACTTTTTTGTGCACAAAAACTGTAGAGCCAGAATGTGGCATTCAGAATGTCAAGACACTACAAGTGTTGGAGCAAAATTGATGATTTTGTTGGTGTTGCAAGGTCACTGTCTCTCTACCTGCCAGTTTTGGACCAAATCTGGGTTTCTGACATTATTTGCATTGTGGTTGTAAAAATATGAAAAAATATGCCAGATGATTGGAATGCACCAAAGGGCCCAACCAATATTTGTTCATATTTTTCTGACCCCTCCCAGCTTTTCCACAATTGTCTATGTCTGCTCAATTTTCTAAACTCAGCGGTAAATTTTCAATTTGGCGTAGTGTATGGGAATGACTACATATATGTTGGGTGTGATGTATCAGCTTATTCATGTAGTGCTAGAAGCTGCGGAAAAAATGAGCCACTTTTCATGGCTCTTTGATTACAATTGAAAAAGTTATTGGCAATTCTGTCCTTGCAAGCCATAAGGGCAAAATAATGCTGAATAGTGAAGATAAATGTGGCTATGGAAATCACTGCATGTCTGGTGAGCATGATATGATAGTAAATTCATAAAGTCCTATCCAAGGCGGAAAAAATGATCCACTTTCCAAGCATTTTGACCATAAACTGAGAAAGTTATGGTAAATCTTGTTATTTTGACCCAGAAGTGTGACACGAAGTGTTATGTGCCAGCACCACACAACTCCTTGTTTTGAGTACCAATGATGAGATTTTTCATAACTTTCGAGACCCAAGATAATCTTGAGATAAATGTGGCCTGGGCTATCAAAACTTAATTCTTCACAGATGGTGTACAGTATTAGAAAGGATTAACTACTTATTTGGCAAGATTGTTTGTGAAAAACAAACCAAATATCCAAGGGCTTGTTTCTGATCCAGCATAACCGAAAGGAGATCGACTTCGAAATTGAGTACTACATATCTTGAAGGTTAGTTGAGTCTAATCTTGAACCAAGTTCTTGAGTTTTCACATAAACTTTGAGATTGCTTGTGATCGATCGACTCGAATTCGATCTCGTTTCGTGGTATGGACATTCGTGTTAGTGCGTGCATAGTTGATACGTGGAAATCGGACGATCAAGGATAAGAGGAAAACTGAGTGTAGGTCTTTGTGACGGCACCTGACGGCACACGCGTATGTACGTGTATAGGTTATGGTTCGAGGGAGGGATTGGACTTTACATGGGCCAAAAGCGGAATGGCCGCGAGTGGCCGCCAATGGTCGAGAAAAGGTGTTTCAGACAGCTCTGTGGGAGTGGCCACACTGCTGTCTGAGAACCAGCTGTATGAGTCGCCGCTGGTGATTTTCGCTACTTTGACTTTCGTGCTGCAAGTTACAGATTGCTCGTACTGTAACAGGGGGCTGGAGCTACTGCATCGAAGAAACCTTCTTTTGGTCTTCATTCCCCCGTTCCTTGGCGAGTTTAGTCCTTTCTAGTCCTCAAAAGGTCAAGAAATGCCAACAATGATTGGACTTCAGCTTATTTGTCCGATGGCTATATAATTTTTGACTTTCGAATCTTCAAACTAGGGAAGATACTCATAACTATCAAATTGTTTTAGGTCGATATCAGTTGACTATCTTTCCTTTTGTGATATGAATGATTAAAAGAAGTTCTGGGGTTATTCGGCTCGAGCCGTTCACAAATTCAATCCGCTGGTCTGAACAAGTCTGGATGCCGGTCGAAACATCTCCCGGGTTCCGATCCAATTGAGATACAGACCAATCCTTCCTTCATTCACCGGCGGCACGGTGACTGACTTGAGTTGATCGATCGGCTTCAATCGGCCAATAAGAGAATCTCAACAATACATAATTCGGCTCACCCGATGACTTTGCGGGTCGCAACCGGAGGGAGCTGAGTCTCACCCATCGGGTGGTGCTAAGTTTTAACCAAAAGGTCATCAAATCATAAGCTAACCAGACGAAATCAAGTCATGATGATGTATACAAATCGTTTGAAGAGTTTAAAGAGACTTTTTGATTTGTTTCCAATTCGATCAAACAAGTTCACGATAATTTTTCAAACTTTTCAAATCAAGAGTTTGTATAATTTCGAAAGTAAAGCAAATCAGAAACGATCTTAGATTCCATTTTGATCCATCATCATCATGGAAGTTCAAGGGCATAACACAGCAACGTTGCCTAAAACTGATGATGAAAGTTTCAATTTCGATGCAAAACCGAATGTCCAGAATTGTATTGAATGATATCGTTCTTCTTGATTCGGAGTCGGAACCTTAAGCAGCTCAGGTGTTCTCAAGAATACTTGACTTGGTCGATGTTTAAATGTGATGTTTGACTAAGAATTGGTATGAATCCTTCATACCCGTACCTAGAAATTTTCGTTTAGAAGTTCCTCTCTATCCCATTTTCTTAGCTTGTTTTTCAATCATGCCTCCTTCACTTACGCTCAACTTTCCATCTGATGCCAATCTTGATCCTGTCACGCTACCGGTCAGTCATTATGCTTATCATAATATGATATGATCACCTGATGCTCTTTTTGATCTCGGCAGACTGGTTTATTTATCAATAATGAATTTGTGGATGCAGAAGATTTGATTACATTGTCAGTCCGCCTATTCTATATTCAATCTTCATGTATAATGTGATTCCGATACAACATTGAACCTCGCAGGGAAATTATCGACCCAGCTACGGAGGATGTTTTGGGACGTGTGGCATCAGCTGGTGAGGCTGACGTAGATAAAGCTGTTGAAGCTGCTACAAAGGCATACAATGAAAGTTGGGGTTTCAGGACGCCTGGTCATCAGCGTGGTCGGTTGATGATTGAATTAGCACAAGCAATGGAAGCCAATGCAGATACACTTGCAGTATGCATTTCTCCTCATTTCACAAAACAAGTCAACAACATAAGATGTAAACATTCCGGTCTCTAATGCTTATGATTTCGTTCAATTTTCATAGGCCATTGAGTCACTTGACAGTGGGAAAGCTTACTCATTCTCAAGGAACTTTGACGTACCTGAAGCTGCAAACTGTTTAAGATATGTACGCCTTCTTGGTTCTTTTCCCTTTATGATCCGTTCATATTTTGATAATTTTGACTTCACTGACTAAAGGTTGTCAAATTTGATGTGATAAATGCAGTATGGTGGCTGGGCAGATAAAAACCACGGTCAAGTGATTGAGGTAAATGATTCCAAAATGGCATATACCCGTCACGAGCCTATTGGTGTAGTCGGTCAACTTATCCCTTGGTTTGTCAAATTTCTTCAGTTATGACTTCATCTGATCTACCTCATGTCTCAATGCTGCAGATCGTGTTCTAATACCAGGATCACTGTCATCCTCTCCATCCCTTCGTGTTTACAAAACACATTTTACGTTGAATTTGGAACTGACATGCATTACTTTCCCATTCATCTACAAAACTCATCTTCAAAAACCCTAGGAATTTTCCGTACGTTTTTGACATGAAAAGTTGATCTGTCAAAAGAAGTTCAAAAGATCTTACTAAATATTTCCTTCTTCTCATCCAGCTTACTTATGTTTGTATGGAAAATCGGTCCAGCTCTTGCAACTGGAAACACAATAGTCATCAAACCATCTGAACTTACCCCACTCTCAGCTCTCTTCATGGCTGAACTGATCTCCAAAATATTCCCACCCGGGGTAATCAATATTATATTTGGAAGTGGTCCAACTGCAGGTAAAGCTCTTGCATCTCATATGAAAGTAGGAAAAATCGCGTTCACTGGAAGTACAGCTGTTGGAAAATTGATCATGAAGGCTGCTGCTGAATCTAACTTGAAAGATGTTACTCTTGAATTGGGTGGAAAGTCTCCTAACATGTAAGTCATAGAGTTGCCGAATTTCTTCAATCAAATATAAATTTTCTTGGGGTTCAAAGAAAACTTATCTTCATATTTGATATAGAATCTTTCAAGATGCTGATTTGGAGCAAGCTGTCAAATGGGCTGCCTTTGGTGTATTTTTCAACCAAGGCGTCAGTCATTTTCATTTTTAGAGTGGTGCTGAACTCTGCATTATGCGTATATTGACTCTTTTTTATAATCCAGCAAACATGTGCAGCCGGTTCAAGAGTTTACGTCCAAGAGTCAATTTATGATGTAAGATTCAAATTCTACACTTTTCTGGTTCTTGATCTTCTATTTTTTGATTAATTCGTCATTGACCCCACTCCGGTTCTTCAGGAATTTGTCAAAGAACTAGAAAAGTATACCAAGAATTTGAAGATCGGTTCACCTTTCAACCAAGATACGTTTCATGGTCCTCAAGTAAGCTCATCTCATTTCTTCTTGGTGCAATCTTCTCCTTCGAGCTTAAGCCTATCAAAAACTTTTCGTCTTTCAATAAAACCTCATTCACGTGTATCTTACTAAGCCTACTGTTAATATTTCTTTAGATTTCTCAACAACAATTCAATCGAATTATGAATTATATCAAATCAGGAGAAGAAGATGGAGCAAAAGTATTGATAGGTGGAAAGAGATACGGCGATCAAGGGTATTTCATTCAACCCACGTAAGTAATCCAGCTAACCTTGAATTAATAATATGATACCCTAAGAAGATTTTATTTGCATTAACCATCTTAGCTTACCATTCACCTTTTCTTCTACCAGAATTTTCATTGATGTGAAACCAGACATGAAAATAGTAAAAGAAGAAATCTTTGGACCAGTAGTAACGATCAGTAAATTCAAAGAAGAAGAAGATTTAATAAGATTAGCAAATGATTCGATTTATGGACTTGCAGCATCAGTCTTTACAAAAGATATCAATCGAGCTTTAAACACTTCAAATCAATTAAAAGCTGGAACGATTTGGATCAATTGTTATAGTAAAGTTCATGCTCAAGTTCCATTTGGTGGTTTTAAACAAAGTGGAATAGGTCGTGAGGTATGAGAATGATGTTTTTTTTTCTCAAAGTTCTTGAAATTTCTTTATGATTTAACATTTGCTAATTCATCACTTAATTCCTTTGCTTCGAAACAAACAGATGGGAGAATACGCCTTGAAAAATTATACATCCGTAAAAGTTTGTCAAATCATTCTGATAATCACCTTTTGATCAGCATGCTGAATTAAGTCTATATATTCTGATTTTGAGCAAAGAAAACTAACCTGGTTGCCTATTTCTTTTGTGTTTTTTATCTGTCTTTCGTATTTTCCTACCTACAGGCTGTACATGTAAACCTTAGTGAGAAATTATGAATCACAAATCTTCAAATTTAAAAGACTTTTCGTATGAGGATTGCATCAGATCCTACTGATACAAACCTGATCCAAATCCAGTATGTAAATATTGTCATGCTTTTACTGATGATTAGATTTATGCAATCATTTTTAAAAAATCGGCACTCTCTTATCAAAGATGTATAAATGATCTCTCAAAATTGAAGAGTTGGGTTAAAAACTTTAAACCAAATGAAAGGGCTGAAATAAAATCAGGTCAATGAATTCCACCAAGTAATCACTTTTCTCAATTGGTTATGGTACATATGGTCACAAAGATCATGAATTGATGATCTTTCATGATTTGAATTGAATGATCTCTCAAGCCAATGCTCACAAAGGTGGGCGCCTATTACAAATCTGGGCTTTACACAAAGGTGCGCCTGGTGCGCTTGTTTGCGCCGCGCCCTAAAAGTGATTGCTTTATACAATTCAAAACCCGGGAACAGTGGAGGATCTTTAAACCTGGCAAGAGAGGGAGACTCCAGAAATCAATGCTGTATATCAAAATGTATTTTCATTCAAAAATACAATACAAACATCCTTTGCCACATTCCTCCACATTCTGAATATTTCCTCAAGCCCTAAGCCTAAGCCCAAACCAATAAGCCCAAACTCCTAACGGCCCCTAACCCTGCCTAACCATTTGCTTGTTATCAAATTTAGCATGTTTATGTCAATGATCTCATGTTTTCATTGCTGTTATCATGTTTTTGTCCTTTTTCTTGCATTTATTGTCTATACAATGTGTATCTTTAACCCTTCTCATTGTATCTTTAATCTTCATTTTTGTATTTTTATTCTTGTTTTGACATTTCTGATTATTAAGGGTATTCAAAGTAAGTACAGCCATTCCAATATTTCTTGTTGCTTACATGTTTGGCAAGAAAAAGTTCATGAGCTCAAAACCTAAGTTTTAACCAGTTAAAACCTGACAATTGGCTGTATTTACTTGAATTACAGCCAATTTCAAAGTTTTATCAAGTAAAAGCTTAGGTTTCACCAAGTTTCACTTTTTCTTTTTCAAAACAGAGCAACAAGAAATATTGGAATGCTTGCTGATGCATGTACATACCGTCTGCAGTAATTATGATGGAAGACAATACAATCCCGTTAGCCCTGGTACTGTTGCTGACGGTTTGTTGTGCAGGCGTAGCTCTAGCCATGAATTTTCACCAAAGGGAATACAACACAAAATTTGCTGCAGACCACTGGGGTCGAATCACCTTGTGTTGTTTGCAATGTTGAGTAGATTCATTGATATATCTGTTTTTTTCTTTTCTTGACTTTGCTTGGAAACTTACTGTTTTCCCTCTTTTCTC